AGACAGACTTTTGACACTTTCAAATGGACTGAATATAACGCCTTTCTAGTCTTCCTACAGCACTCCAAAAGCGCTTGTACGCCTACAGCTGGTCCATTCAAACACTGGACAAGAGCTGCCATCGCAAGGCTGCCAAGTGCTCATCAGTACAAGTTACATAATTTCAGAACCTGTTCAGTATCTTGCCCAAGGACAATTTGATATGCAGAGGGAGGAGCAAGGGATCAAACCACCAACCTTCTCATTAGTAGCTAACATAGAATACTATGTACTACATATATACTATGTATATGTATTATGGCAAAATATTGCACGTTGCGGCAAGTGGGATCACATTACCTGACACACATATCGCACCAATCAGATTATACTCGCATCATTGTCAGTCTGAACCAAAAATTCAGTGTGAAAGATAAATGGAACTTAACTGGAGCCCTTGGAGTCAGGTGCCTGGGACAGTCGTTAATCCACCCTTGGTCATGTAATATGTAGCTGTTGTAAAGCAAGGGAGATTCTGTTGTCAGGATTATCGGAGAGATTCTCATCAGAACTCACAAAGCCTTTTTGATTATTGGTGAAACATGTCTAGACTGTACCTGTTGAGACCTGTTGAATGCTACATGTTGGATCATTATTGCGTTTGGGTCTGCTGAGAACAAAAGCATAATCATTTCCAGCAGGTTTTAGAGATCACACCAAGAACATAAACTGTTTAATCATTTTAAGTTAGTATGATGTTCACAGCCTCATCAGAATGAATTCCAGTTTGTATTCAAGCTTCTTGCAGTATCTGTATCAATGAGAGCAGATCCTCCTTCCTTTTAACCCTGCTTCTGATCCTATTAAAGCTGGATCCTTATCACCTTCATCAGGTTTGAAATGGATGGGAGCTTAACTGCCTTTGTGCACATTGGCAAGAGCTGGCCAGACTGATGTTTCATTATTCCACACTCAAGGTTACAACCTTGAGAGGAAACGAGAGAGAAAGGCTTGAGAATTGATTAGGGAATCAAATCATCAGATGTTATCATCAGTGTCTTAATCATGAATGTCCCACCCATAGGAACACCGAGCTGCACACCGCTGCCACCAGACACTGAACTATAACTCATGGCACCAGCAGAACCTCCGGCTCCAGGTCTGTTAACGGACAGGGCTCAACCTTTGTGTGGCCCAACAGTGCCATCTAGGAGGTTGAACATAGAAGTAGGTTTCTGGACCTGTAGACTTTTTGAGAGTCATGCACTAAATTTGCATCTCCACTAGAAAAACTAACCAGCCAGCACGCACACAAACACATGCAAACAGTAGAGGAAGGAAGGGGCATGGTAATGCTGCCTAACAGGTGGAGTGCTATACAAACAAACCTCGAAAGACACAAGCAAAACATAGCAGGGAACGTGCTGAAAGGCACATTTCCCTAGACCATATTTATGAAACAGGAAGAGAACAGGAAGTACAACCTGGAGAGGTCCTGGCTGTGACTCCAGGAAACTCTCCTATTGTTGTTGCTTTCTCTCACACCATGGAGAGGGGGTCTTCTCCCCCTCTCCATGTACCTGAAATATCAACACTAGCAGTCCTCTGCCCTGTAGGATGCTATAGAGTAAAAGGGAACCCAGGCCTTATGCAGTACATTTGTTATATATGTATGTAATAAATTCTGTTTATTTTAATAGAAGATTGAGCACTTTTTAGCTAGATGAGATGGAAGATTAGTTTACATAGCTTGGTGGGGCTCAGATGAAAGATCTAATTGTCACAGGTTACAGTTTAAGACCAAGGCCAAAGGCTCATTAGTGACATGTTACATTTGTTTTATGTTAACAGTCACATGATCAAGTACATTTTATTCATATAGCCCAGTATTACCATTACAATCTGATAAGGAGCCGTCTTTCTGTAAGGTTTATTCAGC